ACCATCTTCTTTGTTCATTATACTCCAAATCTAAAATCTACCCCCAGGGCCATTTTTATGCCTTGGACCTTGTCTGAACTAGCTCATTATTAACTGTGAAGGAGTTTGTAAGGTTAAATACCATAGGTTTTTGTTTTAATCCTTCCGAGAAATTTACTAGTTTTCTAAATCAAATTCTCTCTCCTTAAACAACAGTCCTTTGTACACGCTAAGCTCTTGCCTCTAGTCTTGCTGCTTTGCCTGATTCTCCAGAGTTTCCTTGCCATTTTTATTGGAATTTTAGGACCCCTCTTGGTTTTACACAGGAGGCCCACACATTAGGGCATCTAAACACTTCCCCTCATTTCTCTAAACTAACACAGTCCTCCACCCAACCTACAATCCTTCCATTAGGCTCACAGTCTATAAGGATTTAAGACTCTCAGTGCTTAAAAAAGCTAATAATTGAAAATAAATGTCTAAAGTGCTTATAACAGTGCCTGGCACTTGGCAACTGCTAGATGACCATTAACAGTTATTATGATGTGATAGTCATCCATGATATTGGACTCTTAAGACTAAGGTCAAAATGGTCATGGAGAAAAACATGTGGGAGAAAGTTGGTGAGGTATTTACCTCAGGGCCTGACCCAAAAAGATGTTCAACAAATCTTAGCCATTTAGGATGGTTCTTTATGTATGATATTTTTAAAAGTATAGGTGTTTTAAATAAAAAAAGTAGACATCTTACTAAGAAGAAAAAATACACAATTCTGCAATATTATTTGATATGAGAGAGAAATGGAATGTTAGCAATGCATACTGAATAGTTAGGATTTCATGTTTAAAGGGAAATGATGTCCTTAGGAACCTAATACCACACATTTGTGGTAATAAGTAGGGTTTTGCTAGTGAATGTCAATTCTTTTTTTTTTCCATTTTTTTTTTATTATTAGTTAAGGTATTACAAATGTGAATGTCAATTCTTTTTGAATTTCCATGCATGCATAGCTAGAAAAAGTGTACCTTTAAAAAAGTAGGTGATCCAGGTAGATTATGTTGCTTGCTCTTTTAATTAAATACCAAAATTTTGATACTAGACAGACATGGGGATGGCAGTCTGGTAAGAAGACTTGAAGCAATAGTTCCATAGTACCTTAAGACAGAGAAAGTATTACTTGTCCGTGCCGAAGTGGATGAGGGATGGTAGAAATTATAGAGAGCCTTGAATTTCCTTAAGACCTAGCTGGGTTCTACTGCTATTACAAGAATATTTAAAATAAATGGACAATAGTTTCCAGCTCTAAAACATATTATATGCAGTACATACTTTACCCTAGTTTACAGTTTACATTTATTATGCTCACTGAAACCACAAAGCCAATGTTTAATTTTACAGTTTGAAGTCACACATAGGGAAATGCTTTACAAAATAGGATATTGTTCCTCAATGAAAAATATTACAGTATAGGTCCCAAATGACTCAGTTCAAGTGCTTTACCCGAATAGCAGAGCTGTTGTGGAATGCAGGCTATAGGACACAGTAATGCTTTCAAAAGTCAATTCCGGTTTGAAATTTGCCAAAGCTGAAGAGACATTTTAAATGAGATCGTCTGAGACTTCAAAGATTTTTTGCTTTTTCAACTGCATTATATTTACAGAAAGATGTCATTACTTCTGGAAAAACAGGGCTCATAAGCAGCTTGCATTTTACTGCTTATATACATGTAAATCCTCAATGTTTTATTCTACCTTGCAAGCACCTTTCAAGAATTAAAAATACTCAGCTCTACCTACGTAGATTTATTACCTGAATTTATTCACAGACTTGAATACAGAAATCAAATATGTGTGCCACTGCTCACATCAAATTGAACATATTTCTAAAACCTGTTTAGTTATCAGCAATCTATTTACAAAGGATGTGCATGATTTTCTCTGACAAATATGTGATACTAAAATGTAAGCAGTGTTTGTCTACTCCGACATTTATGTCATGCTTAATGGATAATGCAAACACACCATCCAGAGGACTAGGCATTTCTTAGTCAAAAGTCTAGTCTCACAAGTACCCAGAGCATGATCTAGTCTCAATACGCTCCCGGTGTGGGGCAGAGTATTTCTAATATATTGTAAATTA